ACTCAACAATGCAAATGACAAATGAGACTACAGTTCCGCTGTATTTACAATACAACTCATTCAACAGTAATAATAAAATTGCATACAATATATCACAAGAGGTTTACGAATGGAAATCAATAAAAAAAAGTTGGAATAAATTAAAATATATCGAAAAAAATTGAGAGAAAACTACAAAGGCTTTGAAAATACACACAAATTCATTGACACGACCTGAGAAACCAGGGGTTCATTTGATAGCCGTTTTAAAAGCATGAAATTTATAGCCGATTTGTTATGAAACGGCATAAAATTTGATTGTTTGGCAAAAAATCATTGACTTAAATAACCGATAGGTTTTTAAATAAAAAATATATTATAAGTTCAACGACTGTATAAATTAAAGAAACGGTGTGTGTATTAAAAATATATCAAGTATTCGGACGGGTATTGAATATCCAGATGAATATACGCCACTATTTATGAGTCATTACCAGAGGGTATAGTATAGCCGCTATAGGAATGGTATGCAATAATAAGCAGCGGAACAGCTGTTTTAGGAAATGCTTAGATCGGGGGATGGTATGCAGACAAAGATACCGGAGATATACACCAGTAAAGGGCTTTTGGGCTCAGATACACATCTATTCATTAGATTAAACAATAAAACAAATCAATTGATCCATACGTGGGTTCCGTTTGGTCTTCGATAACATAAGTGATAATGTATTTCATTATTTAATATATTGTTTCGTTAACACTGTATTGAGTTTCGCGTTTTTGCACACATTTTCATATAAAAGTAATTTTGAAAGTTTTTAAACACTTGACAAACAAATGAAATATTTATCACATATTTTTTGATTATAATTTTGTTGTTTTTTGCGGTCTGCTATCGATCACTGCATTGCCATACCATTGATCCCAAGAGGCCCGCAGACAATATGTCAACACAGGGTTTCCATAACTATGAAAGACCCGTCCGTTCCGGCGATGATGAAGAGGAGGACCCGTTGGAGACAATGCTCAACAAAACCGGTTGTAAAGAATTGCATTATTCACTACAGGTTTGTGTTGTCTTATCATCAATATTAATAACAATGTAATACTCAAGTAATCAATCACTGAATTGTAATACAATTAACAACTAATCCATTGCTAGGACTGTATGGCAGAGCACAGGGATTGGCGACAATGTAAAGATTTGGTCCAACAATTCAAAGAATGTATGATTATATACGAGAAGAATAAATCACAGAATATGAGCAAATGATTTACTTGTTGTCAATAGTTATTAGTTTTATTATTTCAATTCAGACTATTTTAATAGATATGAATAAATGGCACAAAATTTCTCTCAAATATATTACAATTTACAAAAAACGAAAAACTTTTTAAAATTGGCAAAAGATGTCAAAAATAAAACATAAAAATGATTTTATAATGAAAAACAAAATAAAACAATAATTTATATCCAAAATGTATATAAATTAGAGAATGAATTAAAAATAAATTATTGGTATTAATTATATGTATATAAAAACTGCTATTAATTTAGTTACTAATCACAAGTTATTCCTAATTAAACAAATCTATGCTTTTATATCACATCTCAAGTGATTATCATATGAATAGCCATTGGATGCGCGGCCCGAGAGATGATTGTCTCTATAGTTAGCATTCGTGAAGTTGAATGTCTCCGAATGGGTGATCGACGAGTCGTCGTAATACTCGAGCTCTTCGGTGTAGTCATTGTCGGTCTGGTGTGTGAGGAAGTGATGGTTCTGACGGGTCGGCCACATCAGGTGCGTCACTATAGCGTACGCCAAGAAGTCGGCTGCCGATGAAAAGCCTTAACAATAGAGACATTCATTAATTCAATTCAATTGTGTTTCTAATGAGTTAATGAGTACCGGAAATGAGTTTATATCTCCACATGAGTTCGATCTGAAGGCCAACCATAGCGACGAGAGGCAAGTGTACGAACCACACGAGTATACCGGCGCCGAAATGTAGGTAAAACTTGAGCCGTTTCTGGTCCTGTTCTAACATCATTGAGAGCCTCAGTTCGTACAGAAACCACATCATTAGGAACACACGAAAGCCCAAACTCATCCAACCCGGGAATGTGTGGTATTCATCGATCTCTTCGATCACATCAACAGAATTCTGCAAAATTCAAATATCAATAAATATCATGTAATGAGTGGTCAATCAGTTATGAGATGCAGACCTTAATCCAAATGAATAATACTATTTCAATGACAATGTATGCGATCCACGCGATTAGTATCAGCGGTTTGGCTGTAATTTCCGGTTTAGTTACGGGCCATCCTTTCGCGATAATCATTACGAATAATATAAACAATGCCTTTGATTACAGAAACAGGAAAAGTGATTAATAAATAAACAATCAGTAATTCAATGAAAAGCATAAAAATATTGATAAAAACAAATTATAAATAGATTATAAATAATTCAAAGAATCTAATCGTGTGTTATATTTGGCGTGAATTTGATTAGATATTGAGTGATAAGATTTGGTGCCAACAAATGTTGGCATTGAAAAACGATCGCAACAAATGAGAATGAAATTGAAAAAACAAAACAAAAAACATTGCGACAAATGAATGACAAACTGATTGATTACCAGCGATAGGATGCGAATAATGTCGGCCACAGTATTGAGTATAACGAATCCCTGTCCGTCGTGTGCGAACACAATCTTGTGGAGACCGACGAAAAAATAGGACAAACAGTGCATCGATAGTGATATTGTGAACAAATATGTGAGCAAATTGCGGATCTTTTGCGATGTGAACGCATAGAGTTGTGCCGACGTTAGGATCACATAGAATATGATCAATAGTAAGTATAGGAACAGATCCTGAGGTGCGAAACAATTTGTGGTGTCATTCCATAGAGTGGTCATAGAGTGAGAGATAATCATAGAGATTAAGAAATGTGGCCATAATTAATGGTATTAATTATAGTGATTGCAGACCTGTTGCTCGAACGAGAACTGGTGATCAAAGTCGAGCGGCTTATTGGATGCGCTGCTCGGGTGGCCGTTCACAAGCCATACATCGTATTTCAATACCGAGTCGTCGGCCGACCCGTCGCTCCACTCACACGTGATATTATGGGTGCCGTTGACAGCAGGCGTAGACTTCACGTCACGATTACACGCAACCAACAGTAGAAACCAAAATCTATTATAAATACAATAAATACAACGAAATACAATAGGATTCAGAAAAAGCAAATATTAACATAAAATACAATAATAATTGAATTTCAAATGACAACTGAATTGTCTGATTGTTTGACAGTTATTTATTTGATATTTTTTCTGTTGAATAATTTAGAATATGATCAATAGTAAGTATAGGAACAGATCCTGAGGTGCGAAACAATTTGTGGTGTCATTCCATAGAGTGGTCATAGAGTGAGAGATAATCATAGAGATTAAGAAATGTGGCCATAATTAATAGTATTAATTATAGTAATTACAGACCTGTTGCTCGAACGAGAACTGGTGGTCAAAGTCGAGCGGCTTATTGGATGCGCTGCTCGGGTGGCCGTTCACAAGCCATACATCGTATTTCAATACCGAGTCGTCGGCCGACCCGTCGCTCCACTCGCACGTGATATTATGGGTGCCGTTGACAGCAGGCGTAGACTTCACGTCACGATTACACGCAACCAACAGTAGAAACCAAAATCTATTATAAATACAATCTTTATGTTATCCTAAGTCTTTTTCGTTTATAATTGTATTTTATGTTATTATTAACTTAAAGTTTACTGTTGACTTAACAGACTAACAAACTGTCAATAAATAAACTATAAAAAAGACAACTTATTATTGATAGCACTTTTTAAATTGAAATTCAATGATTGAATAAACAAAAGGCATTTTCCAACAAATGTTATTTCAAAGTAATTATTTATAAATTTCTTTTTTAGCGTTAAATGTGTTTTAATGGAAAATTCTGTCCCAAGAATCTCATCATACTATTGAATGAATTAGTTTTGGCACGAAATACAGCATAACTTGAAGTTTAAAGTTTTGAAGTTTAAACTTTAAAATAGATATATTATAAACTATTTTTATAAAACGGTTTACAAAGCGATTATTTATGTAACAAATTTAAGCCATAAAATGGAAATGTATTTTAATTAATATCAATAAAAGTACTCTATTTTCAGAAACTTATTAATGAAAGAAATCTATTTTTATTTACATAAAACCCTATAGTTATTGGCTCTCTGTTTGCCCAAAACAAGTACTGTATTTAGTGTGGGTTTTGAGGCATAATTTATAGCAAAGTAACCGTAAAAAGTCACTCAATATTAGCAAAACGTCTCAAATAAAACTTGCAATACTTTTTTATGTTTCATTTGATATACAAGTAGTAAAAGTACTATATATTTAGTTTCTTTGCGAGCGATTCGATGGTATGATAAAAACCTATTTAATATTTTCCATTCATTCAAAACACAGGTATTATAATAGTAATAGTATTACATGTAAAGGAAGAAAAAGCTGAGTTGTTACGTTTACTGTTTACTCTGATGTCAAGGCGACATAAATGTTATGTTGAGTAAGTTGTCATTATTATTTTAACGTATGTTATATAGTGTTCTCCAAATGCTTACCTTTAGTTATTTTTTGTTGGAATAAATTAAAATATATCGAAAAACATTGAGAGAATGCTTTGAAAATACACACAAATTCATTGACACGACCTGAGAAACCAGGGGTTCATTTGATAGCCGTTTTAAAGGCATTAAATTTATAGCCGATTTGTTATGAAACGGCATAAAGTTTGATTGTTTGGCAAAAAATCATTGACTTAAATAACCGATAGGTTTTTTAAAATAAAAAATATATTATAAGTTCAACGACTGTATAAATTAAAGAAACGGTGTGTGTATTAAAAATATATCAAGTATTCGGACGGGTATTGAATTTCCAGATGAATATACGCCACTATTTATGAGTCATTACCAGAGAGTATAGCCGCTATAGGAATGGTATGCAATAATAGGCAGCGGAACAGCTGTTTTAGGAAATGCTTAGATCGGGGGATGGGATGCAGACAAGCTATGGCCTCTATATGTGGTCATTTCCCGAAAACCCGAGTCTATGTGTAGATAAGTAATCTAATTTGTTATTTTGTTTAGTTAACTAGGTATGCACCCAAGGCAAACCAGAAGCTATTGTATTCACTACTGATAATTCTGGACAATCTGTGAGCTCTTGACGGCGCCCTCGCAAACGGATCCCTCAACGCACGGCACGAATCGGATTATGTCTTGTTTGTTGTCTTTACTGCAGGTCTGGTCGTAGGCTTTGGTGTCGATGGCGTTAAACACTTTCTCACACCATGTCTTTCGCTTATCATTCATAGCGTTAGTGTTGTTGTCGTGTTTATCAACGCTCTTATCCATCACTTTGACATCCGATTTATGGCTATTGTATGTGCTGTACATCTGTTGGAATAGCTGTCGATTCACTAATACAAGAGCCGAAGTCTTGAATCTGATCTTCTCGTTCGGATCCATATGTTTGGTAACGTTGCCGAAGACGTAGCCATAGCTATCGTCTTTGTGGTGCGGATCGGATTTGCCGACACCGAAGCGAGCGATCACCTGAACATACAATCGAGACAATGGATCATGTTCGGATCCATATGTTTGGTAACGTTGCCGAAGACGTAGCCATAGCTATCGTCTTTGTGGTGCGGATCGGATTTGCCGACACCGAAGCGAGCGATCACCTGAACATACAATCGAGACAATGGATCAGATCATCAATGAATGGCAAATGAACAGTGAGACAATCGATACTAACCTTCAGTGGATCAGCTGATGGACTCCACACACCCGTCACATGTAGGCCTTCAACCGTTGCGGTGATAATGACGAGTAGTATTAGTGGTAATAATAAAAATAACAATTTGTTGACATTTAATAACATTTTTTGTGATTAATTGTAATAATAATAATCAAGTGATCAATAAATGGCACCAAAAATAACGAGTGATTCAAATGAATGAATGGTTTTGTAATTATAATAACGGTTTTGTTATCATTTAAATATCAAGCATAAAGTGTACGACAATATCGTCCACTCATATCCATTCATATGTTGGGATCCGATACGAGTGGCTCAAGAGGTGGCCCAAGACGTGGTCAACAGATGAGAGGAGAAGTGAAATGTAATTACGATGAAAGCGATTGCAATGAGAATGTAATCATTGAATGAATGAATACATTGGCGAGCATTGAGTCAACCGTTTCAGACACTAAACCGACGATTGTATGGCTTTTTTAGCGAACAAATCATTAATTCATTTG